TTACAAGTCAGTCATAGCACAGGACATGGAATTTGTCATATGCTTTGGAAAAAATAACACATCATGGAAAATGAACTTTTTTTCTCATCAATAATAATGAGTCACTAGTAGAATGTCAGCAGAGTGAAGGATACCCAGGGTGGTTAGCAGATAGAAAAATGCCATATATTTAGTGTGGATTATCCACTGGAAATTTACACCCCACCTGTTCTTCACATATATTTGATAGCAATGACTGGGTCCTTCCCCTTTTAGGCTTAAAAGGACTTGATGTGTGGTAAGCTGAAGCTACTGACCCGCAAAACAAATCAAATGTGAATAAATTTAAATGAAACTATCTGGTGTGTTAAAAGGTGGAGTCTATGAGAAATAAACAATAAAACCAATGACAATGTCAATCAATGTGCCAAAGGATGTTTGAAAAAGTTTTTACTGGGCAGCTCAAATAAACAAAAAGGTGTCAAGTGTTGGTTAATTATTTTAGTTGTGATGTGAGGCAAGGTTTTTTGCTCATTAACAATTTTTTTGTTATTACAGCTATCTGCCACAGTATACTGGAGTACATATTGAATATGAGCTCAAATTGCAGACTTTCAGCTTTAATCTGAGGGTATTTCCATCTAAATTGGGTGAGCAGTGTAGGAATTACAGCACTTTATATATGTGGTCCTCCTCCTCCTTTTAAGGGACCAAAGGTTTTTGGACAATTGGCTACTCAGCTGTTTCATGGCCAGGTGTGTGTTAGTCCCTAATTATTTCACTTACAAGTAAGCAGATGAAAGATCTAGAGGTGATTTCAAGTGTGGCATTTGCATTTGGAATCTGTTGCTGTTAACTCTCAATATAAAGTCCAAAGAGCTGTCACTGCCGGTCATGAGGCTGAAAAATCAAAACAAACCCATAAGAGGTATAGCAAAACATTAGGTGTGGCCAAATCAACTACTTTACAGGCAAAAAAGAAGATACTGGTGAGCTCAGGAATATCAAAAGCCTGGAAGACCAATGGAAAACAACTGTGGTGTATGACAGAAGAATTCTTTCCCTTGTGAAGAGGAACCCTTTCACAACAATTGAGCAGATCAAGAACCCCCTCCAGGAGGTAGGTGTATCTGTGTCAAAGTCAACAATCAAAAGAAGACTTCACTTGAGGGTTTACCACAAGACCAGATTAGAGTTTGCCAAAATAATCTAAAAAAATCACATACAGTTCTGGAACAATATCCTATGGACAGATGAGACAAAGATCAACTACTACTAGAAAGATGGGAAAAGAAGAGTATGGAGAAAGGAAGGAGATTGTTCATTATCTGAAGCATACCACCTCATCATATGGTATAAGCATGAATGGCTGCCAGTGGAACTGGTTCCCTTGTATTTATTAATGATGTGACTGCTGACAAAAGCAGCAGGATGAATTGTGAAGTGTATAGGGCTATATTATCTATTCGGATTCAGCCTAATGCTTCACAGTTGATTATATGGGGCATCACACTGCAGATGGACAATGACCCAGCGCATCCTTCGAAAGCAACCCAAGACTTTTACAGGGCAAAGAAGTGGAATACTTTGCAATGGCCAAGTCAATCACCTGACCAGCTGCTTTTCTCTTGCTGAAACAAAAAAAATGAAAGTAAAACACCCCAAGAACAAGCAGGAACTGAAGACAGCTGCAGAGTATCGCGAGGTAAGAATCCCAGTGTCTGGTGATGTCTATGGGTTCCAGACTTCGGGCAATCACTGACTGCAAAGGACAATTTAATTTACGATTATGTTAGTTTGTCCAAATACTTTTGGTCCCTTAAGGGGGGGGGGGGGGGG